AAATCTTCCGACGATCGTGCACGCGGCGCGCACACACCTAATGGAATGGATATGAGCAAGCACTCGAAGAAGAAGCAAGTTTTTAAATCGGTGGGATGGTGGACCGCAGCTGTTTAAGATTTTTGCATCCTTCAGATTGGTAACTGCTGCAATATGTGGTGATATATTTTGTGAGCCTTTCTATAGTTCATGAGCTGCTTCTTTGTTTGGCATGTGCCATTACTGCTTAATTAAAAAACAACAACAAAGCACTGAGAATGGGTTAACACTGTTTTTTCTAAGACAGTTTTCTAGAGCAGCCTATTTTCAGTTCTCAGTAGCTTTTCTGTAGCTAGTATTTAAAACAAAAACACACACATGGCTAATAAACATTAGATTCCTATTTCCGAGGGAGTTTCTACACTGAAGTAGTAGTGATACTTTAGAAGAGGATTAAAGTAATGAATGGGTTTAAGGCTAAACCTCTTTCTGCAAGCGTCACAGCTTGCGGACTCTCACCTTCTGTGCAACTCTCAAGTGATCTTAGTGCAGACGAAAGCTTTTTAATCTAGCGCACAAAAATCCTGCAGCATCCACAAGAGAATCTTTCTTTAGAGAAATGCACAGAAATAATCACTGGAGAGCCAGACATTCCCTCCTTCCCCTCAAAAAGATCTCAGAGGCACAAATGCTCTCCTGGAATTTTATCCACTGATGTTATTCCCCTTATGCCTTGTAAGCTGGGTCTGGAATCTCAGCTCTGTTATTGCAAGTGCCCTCACCTTGAAGGAGACAATTTGCCATTTATAGGGCAATAAAGGTCTTCTGTGGACATTGGAGACAGAGGGTACATATAAGTGGACATTATTTTGGATGGAGGCCCTGGGTCCTGACATGCCACAAAGATTAGTATTAGGGACGATTATACAGATGCTGCGTAGAAGAGAAAAAATGCACACTGCAGTGCTGGTAAGGAGGAGGAGAGCAATAAACATCCCTAGTGAATTAGCCGGCGAAGAAGCAGTTTACGCATTTCACTCCCAAGAAATGTAAGGTAATGAGTCTGAACCAGAAGTCTGAAGAGAGTCATTTACTCTGAGTAATCACGTATGGCAAGATACTGAGCAGGACCGGGACTTAGTGCGGGGTGAAGGCCTGTATGCTCCAGCACTGCTGAACTGCAATAGGAGAGTCTTGGGCGGCAGACCCAGAGGAAGGGGACACAAACTCAGTTCTCCACCGTGAAACAGTAACACTTTATCTTGAAGGCCATGTTCAGTTCCTGTCACTCATAGACTTTAAGGTCAGAAGGGACCATTATGATCATCTGGTCACCTTATGGAAAGGACACAATAAAGAGGGTGACTAGACAGTTGCAGGGACTTGAATACTGTAGTAATTAACACAGAAAAAACGTATGGGAAGGGGGTTAACTGGAAATTTTAATTGCTGATCACACCATCCTGAAGGGAGATACTCTGGGCTAGCTTCTCACAGGAGACGGGGTCACATATTGAGAAGAGAGGATCAGGCGACACGGGTGAACTTCACCAAGGTGGAGAGGTCTCTTGAAAGGGCTCAAGTGGGAGGAAGGCTGTAGCCAGCCTCCCTGTTCTGGAGGGAGTCTAAGCCTAGATGCATTTGGGCACTGCCTGTCCCCAGGGCTCCCTCACACAGGGACTCTCTCCTCATTTCTCCCTCTGGGGTGGATAGGAGACTTAGGAAGTTCGGGCTTCGTATAGAGATAATGCAGCTCTGCATGGCCATCCCTTCTGATCCAGCCGCTATGGTTGAGCAGTATGACATGAAGGCCCAGCCCAGCGGAGACAGATGATGTCAGGAGGGGAGAGGAAGCAGCCAGACACAAAATGACGTTACATTAGCGCCCTGGACTGAAGGATTCGATACATGAACTGACAGACCTGTACATTTTATCAATCTAAAGAAATGCAACAAGTTATGTAAGGAGAGCAGCAATAGGAATTCTGGGAAACACTCTCATGGGGGGACGACTTGGGTAGTAAGGGGATAAAATATTCTAGGCTACTTCAACAGCTATTCCTACAAGGGGATAGAACCAGATGATCTGCCTCCGTTGCTCTAGGTTGTCTGCAGTGTGGTAGCCATCTTGGTCCCAGGATATTAGAAAGAAGGCGGGGGAGGTAATTTTTATTGGACCAACTTCCGTTGGTGAGAGAGACAAGCATTCGAGCTACACAGAGCTCTTCCTCAGGTCAGGGAAAGGTACTCAGAGTCTCACAGCTAAATGCAAGAAAGAGCAGATAGTTTAGCATGTACTTTAAGGGACCATTCAAAGTGAAGTGGCCCGCTAACACCCCGTATTTACATGGAAGAGCTTTGCGTAGCTCAAAAGTTTGTCTCTCTCTCTCTCTCTCTCTCTCTCCTCCCCCCT